AAATCAAGGTTAGCTCCGTTCACACGAACCAAGCTCGCCTCAGTTACCTACCTTTCGCTGAAGACTGTCGAATGCAAGCGTTTTCTATCAGTTCTAATCTTCATCTTGAGCTGGTGCTCAAAGAATCGGATTAGATCCTGATGAGAAAGACGATTGCCTCTCAAGATTTCCTCCTGTTGCGTCGTCCAAATCACCATTCGGGCCTTGACCAGCAACGCCAGAAACACCCTTCGTTTCACCCCAGAATACGGGGACGACACATTGTCACACGCGTGTGCGCGATCAATGAGCACGAGCTGTTCGGGAGCGGGACGAGCCGTCAACTCTCCGACATGGTCCTATAAGGGACGGGCCTGGGGACAATGGTTGAAGGCCTGCAAAGCCGATTCTTCTAAACCAAGGTCACACCGTTCACAGTCTGGAAATTCCGCGAAGCCCCATATGAAGAGCATGTTATTGAGAGGCAGCCGATTCCGAGCCAATCGCCAGGTAAGGAAAAACTCAGAGTTACTGAGATAATCCGTCGCTGGCGCCCAAGACCAAAAGAGCGAAACTCCTCCTCCGACAAGTTGAGCCGCTTCGTAGAGGATCCTTCGCGGCTCCCTCCACTAAATACCGATAGAAGACCTCCTAGGTCGTAAAATGTCACTGGACCGAGGAATGATCGTCAAGGCTTACCGACACTCGCGAAGGAAATCCGAAACCCCCGAGATGGGGAGACTGATAGTAAGGAAAGGAGATGCGTCCTTGACAATCCTCGCCACAATCGAATCACCTGTCAATGCGTGGCGTAGGAAAGCCAACCTCAAGGCGAGTTTGTGACTCACCAAGTGTGGCATTCCCAGACCCTCCCCCATGACACGATCGTTGTGCACAGGCTTCTCTTGTTGACCTGATGCTTGCGTTCCCTCCACAAAATGGAGGATAGTGAGCGCTCGAGCGGCTTCCTATGATCCTTACAGAGAGGAAGTATGGACAATCGATAAAGGACAATCGGGACAACGTATGTGGCACACGCCTCCGCCATGCCCTTCACGGACAACCTCCGTCGACGCCAAGTCTGACCGGCCGCGTCGACTTTTGCTCATACCAATTTGTCTCCAGCTGGAAGTCGGATCCAAACCACACTCCAAGAATGCGGACAGGACCGTCCGTCCCCAGAAGGGCCCCTGAAGATCGACCCCCTTCCAGGCACCTAACCGCAAGCCGGACGACTTGTCGCAGTTAATCCTGTCACCTTTTCTAGCGCCTTCAGTACCACCTTAATGTCGCTGCGGGACGACACAAAAGTAGATACGTCATTGGCGTACGCGGAAACCCTGACTCGAGCCCCTCCAGGAATGGAAATTCCGCGTAGGGCCGTACTGCACGCCCCGTCCCTCAGTCGGCGAAGCAGAAGCTCCAACGCCAAAGCATAAAGTAGGGGCGACAGTGGACAACCCAGACGAACCGACTTAGATAGCGCAAAAGCGCCCGACAGCTTCCCGTTTAACTGTACCACAGCACTGGGGGAGCGATACAGGAGGCTAATCCAGCGGCAGAAGTCGAGTGCGAATCTGGCGGCCTGCAGGACAGCCGCAAGGTAGTGATGGTCAACCCCATCAAATGCCTTGGACTGATCTAAATTGATCAGCGCGGCCTCATCGTCGTATTTTACACCCTCTATAATCGTGTGGATCAGACGCAGGTTCCTCTGAATTGTTCGGCCCCTCACAGAACAAGTCTGCTCAGGACCCAACAGAGACTCGGCAACTGACTGCAGGATCTTGGCCAAAATCTTTAACTCTGTGTTTAGCCGAGTTATGGGCCTGTAATCATTTAATTGCCCCCAACATCCTTGCCCTTTCTGAACAGCGTGATCACACCCCTGGAGAACCGGCTGGGGACGGATTCCTGCCGGGACCAGTTGTTGAACACGACAGTCAAAATCGGATCCGGGCGGAGCAGCTTGGGCTGTGTCGGAAAAAAGGGGCTAATTATATGTGGAACGATTTGTTCAAGTACTCTCTGGCTAGAGGAAGTAGAAAACCGTAGATATAAAATTACTCCTCATGTTGTTCGATGTTTGGGTAGCACTGCCTAATCCGATGCCCTCAAAATGCGGTTTTGGATTCAACCATATAGGGCCAGTTGTCCTGTTACTCGCACGCTGCTGAACATAAATCTGCGAGATAAGGGGTTGTAAAGGTCAATGTCGTTTTTCAAAGGAGCGGCAAATGGCGGCTGCGGCACAGGCATCTACCCCCCCCCCCGAAAGACTTTTAGTTTTTCCTTGCTAGGTTGAATAGAATATTTTGGACACAATTTCTGGAGACGGATCTCCAGAAATTGTGTCCAAAATATTCTAGTTGTGCCTTTTGAAATCACACTTTTTTTCGTCGTGTTCTTCTATAGTCCTACCGTAGATGAGAACATCATCGATAATTGTTTCGACTCCTTGAATATTTCTCAACACATCCGATGCCTTTCGTTCAAAGATTTCCGGAGCTGATGTTCTACCAAAAGGTAATCTTTTGAAGTAATATCTCCCAAAAGTGGTAATGAAAGTCGTGAGTAGACAGATTACTTTACTTAACGGAATTTGGTAGAATCTGATGGTAGCATCCAATTAATAATAATAAAAAAAAACTAGCTCCCGTTTCGTCGAAATTGGTTTTCATCTAAATTTGGTAACATGTAATGTCCCATTTTCACTGCTAGATTCAGCTTCTTCAAATCTACACATATTCGGTCTTTCCTGTTTCTTTTTATTACAGGTAGTATAGGCTCACACCAATCAGTTGTTTCTGTAACCTATACAATAATTCCTTCGGTGATGAAAGACTTGAATAGACTTCAGTCTATTCAATTCTTTCATCACCTTTGGTAAAGTAGGGAATGGTACTTTCCTAAATGTTGTTGCACAGTAGGCTAAAGCGTCTTTTTCAGAATTATTTTCACTGGGTCTTTGTTCATACACCCTCCGTCGTCAAATAAAGTTCCATGTTTTATTTTGTCTAAACGTTTCACTAAATTCATTTTTACAGGCGTTTTTCTATACAATAAGTTCTCTCCCTTTACAAATTTGATGACATATATCTCCAAATAATATTTGTCCTTGTCGCGGCCGCCATTAGCCGCTCCTTAAAAAAACGACCTTGACCTTTACAATCCCTGATCTCGAGGATTTAAGTCCAGCAGCATGTGAGAAACTGGATGACGGGTCCAATATGGTCGTGTCCAAAACTGTACCTCGTGAGCATCGGATTAGGCGGTGCTTCCTAAACATTGAACAATATGGGGAGTAATTTTATATCTACAGTTTTCTACTCCCTCTAGACAGAGAGTACTTGAACAAATCGTTCCACATATTGTTAGTCCTTTTTTCGTCCAAACCCAACCTTTGTGTAAATAATCTTATATCATGAACATTGGGGATTCATTGTTTATTACTCCCCTCCCCCCTACAAAAAGCTATGGGGATTAAGTAGAATTTCCTTGAGTGGGTGTGGTATTGTGGTGTATGTTTATGGCAGTGTTGTGTGGATGAGATGTTTTGGTGAAAGGAACAATATTTGGACTAGTGGGTCAGTAAATGAGGCTAGCTAAGTTAGAAGTAAGCCAGTTGAAGATCAGCCTCCCCCTCCATTCCAATTCTGCCCTTGTGGCATATTTGTACTTTTGTACAATAAATACAAGCTGATCGGCCTGGGGGCCTGAATCAAAGTATAGTACGTTATCTTTGTGAGCTTCCAGGGCTTCGTCAAGAGAATACACTGCGGCGTGATCCCGTTTCCGCTGTCGATACGCCCTTGAAGACGTATTTCCTCTCTGACTCCAGCTTCGTCACGTGCTAAAACTTCGGCGCAATCCCGCCTCCGCGGCTGATCCGCCCTGGAAGTCGCATCACTATTCTGACTCGGCCCTGTTTAGGGACGTCGCCTTCGTCAAGTGCTACACTTCGGCGCGACCCCGCCTACGTGGTTGATCCGCCCTGGAAGTCGTATCACTATTCTGACTCGGCCATGTTTAAGTACTTCGCCTTCGTCAAGTGCTACACTTCGGCGCGACTCCGCCTACGTGGTTGATCCGCCCTGAAAGTCGTATCACTACACCGACTCGGCCCTGTTTAGGGACTCGTCCTAACCGACCCGACGAATCTTCGTTAGTCATCAATCAACTAGCTGCTGTCGCCGACAATTCTCCCATCCGGCAGTCGACCAGCTACCGCCGCCGATCAACTCTACACTCGTTTCGCCGATACAACCGAATCAACTTCCCCTGAAGGAAACTAATCATACCGGACCCGACACTGCTGCAAACATATTTCTCCATCAGTACACTCTTGTACATTTTGTATAAATAAAATCGACGTTTATTGTTTTTTAAACCTCTGCCTTTGTCCCCTCATTGTCTTGGCTGTTCACACCTTTCTTCTAAAAGCTTGCGGGGGCGACATTCTTATCAGACAGCTAAGCGATGATGGAGTCGGTCAAGAGTGATTCTCCAGACATGACCATAATGCAAAGAACTGGTTCTTGCAGGTAGAATCGATTTTTTCCATGTTACGAATCACTTCACAGCGAGCTAGATTTGCAAACGTGATGCAGAAACTTCTATCAGATATGATGGACAAAATTTCTGATGTCCTCTCCGATTTGCGCGAACACAAACCGTACAATTACTGAAAGGAAGCGATCCTCAAGCGTACTGGGCATTCCGAGGAGGACATGATTCAAAAGATCCTACGAAACGTCACCAGAGGTGACAAGACGCATACCTCAGGTATATGAGGAACCAGCTGAGAAAGCACAATGTGTCCGAGAAGGTTCTTCGTGACTTATGGCTGGACCGTTTGCCCAAATCAGTCACTCAGATTATCGCCCCAATGACGAGAGCCACGCCTCTGGATGAACTGGCAAAATCCGCCAACCTGGTTTTTGCGGTTTGACCACGGCGTTAACGCAGTTCACACCTCCGAGACAGCAAAACCCGAAGGCTAGAGAGCGGAGTGAGACAGAATGGGCGTTGGCCGACCTGCAAAGACAAATACGAGAAATCCAGATCTCCCTGGGCCCACGGACAAGGAAACCGACCCCATCTCGACAACAACGGAGACGAACCTCCAGCCGAGAACGGCGAAGCGACCAGGTCATTTGCTGGTTTCATCGCACATTTGGCGATGGAGCCAGAAACTGCAGACCTCCCTGTACACACCCGTCGGCCCAGGGAAATGAGTAAACCGGAGGGTAACGACGACTAACTCATCCGGTGACAACACGCAATGTCTTCTATTCTATGTTTGGGATCGCCGGAACAAACTGAAATTCCTAGTAGACACAGGTACAGTCATCACTGTGGTACCCTATCAGAACGATTACACCGCTAAGCCCACCCTGTTCAAACTACGAGCTGCGAATGGTTCCGCGATAAACACGTACGGAGAAAGGACCCTCACTCTGAACATCGGCGTGCGACGTGATTTCACTTGGATATTCACCGTGTCTAACGTGAAGATACCCATCCTCGGCGCGGATTACGCACTAGCGGTCCATATGAACCCTATCCGACACAACTACGAATTTCCGTGTCTTAGGTACGCCTACACGTCGAAGCTCCACAGGGATCAGCGTCGCAACATGCCATGGTCGCGAGTACTTAGATCTCCTGACGCAGTTCACAGATATAACGCTGCCACTCCAAGCCACTGCTTGAGGTGACCACCAAACTCAGCACCATATCAGAACTAGAGGTCCCACTCGCGACGACTCGCACCACACAAACTGGCGTATGCCAGGGAACAATTTGACAAAATGCTGAGCGACGGCATCATTCGTCCTTCCGATAGCCCTTACGCCTCGCCACTGCACTTAGTACCTAAACCTGGTGGCAAGGAATATCGGGTATGCCTCGACGACCGAAAATTAAACGCATCGACCGAACCAGACCGCTACCCTCTACCTCATATCCATGATTTTGCGTCCGGACTAGAGAGTGCTCGCATCTTTTCGAAAATCGACCTGACAAAGTCATACTATCAGATCCCCATCGCTGCGGAAAACGTCCTTAAGACGGCAGTCACAATACCGTTTGGCCTATATGAGTTTCTAAAAATGCCATTCGGTCTACGTAACGCTGCCCAGACCTTCCAACGGCTCATAGATTAAGTCCTGCGCGGACTACCGCAGGTATAGGCTTACATCGACGACATCTTAGTGGCCAGTAAAGACGCCGGCTCTCACAGGTAACACTTGCGAGATTTTTTCCAGCGACTCTCGCACTATGGCCTGAAGTTGAACCTGGACAAGTGCGTTTTCGGGGCGCTCAGTGTCAATTTTCTCGGGCACCACACCGACGCTAAATGCATAGCACCTCTGCCAGACACTGAATAGTTTAGATTGAAATTGTGGGCACCTATCGGTGGTAATTACCGAAGGGCACCCGAAAATAGTGATCCAATGTGTGAAAATGGCATTGGCGACTGATTCAGCTGTGATTGACTCGAGAGGAATGGCGACTGGCCAGCGCGTGAAACGGTCGATGATGGTCAGAATGTATTCGAAACCGTTCACGCGTTCTAACGGACCAACTAAGTCTGCGTGCAAGTGGGTAAAGCGTCCGTCTGGATTGGGGAAGGTTGACGCCGGTGCTCTAGTGTGTCTGCCAACTTTTGTTGTTTTATGTCAGTTGCCATACCAGGCCAGATAAATCTATCAACGTTGCCTTGCCTCCTGGGTAAACTTGAGAGGGAAAATGAGCGAAAAGAAGACGGCGCATAGTTGGTCGTATATAAGGGCGCGGGTTACCCGTGCTTGTGTCGCAATAGACTGACCTATCCGTGAATGGAAGCGGTCGTTTCTCAATATTCAGGGAAGTATCCGATCGGACAGCTGGTAAAGTATCGTCGTTCATTTTTTCGTCTGCCAAGGTGTCGAAATTTAATGCTGCAGGCTGAATTGTGCTAAGGGTCGTGCGAAATAAAGCATCGGCCACTGTGTTACTGGTGCCACTAACGTAATGGATGTCTGACGTGAATTGCGCTGCAACGGATGTCGCGCGGATTATGATTTTTCCGATTTTGCATCTACGTCGGACGTTAGCGGTTTGTGGTCAGTAAAAACTGAGAAGTCGCGTCCTCCAATATATGCCGATAGTGTCTGATGGCTAAGTAAACTGCCAAAAGTTCACGGGAGAAGGTACTGTATTTCGTTTGGGCCGAATTAAGCCAAAATGCATCCAGCGAATTCCCAACAGAGAGAGGGTTTGTGTGTGATAAACGCGTATTGAATCACCTGGGGTAGTCCCGTCTCATACAGACTTCTCAGAACAAGGGGCAGTCTTCTTTCTCTCCTCCAAAATTCTCCCGCAAATCTCTCGACTCACTGCGACGATAGTCCCGTGACTCTCTCGACTACCGTCTCTTTCCCCGACTCTGCTTTTTTAGCAAAATCTCGAGTTAATATAGAAAAAGGATCAGCTGATCACAATTGACCCTCGGCCCGGCACGCAGCTACCACGAGTGCCAAGAACTATCCCTTGGCATGTAAACCTATTCTCCAATTATTTACCTTATCTCAATCACGAGTTCTTCTCCCTTCACCAAAATTATACTTTGGGACATCAAAACATTGATTCAACCTTTTAATCAAAACAAATACTGTTAAAAAAAACAAGTATCTCGCCCATCCCCATTGTTTACTAATGATCCAGGTTTAAAACATCGCCTCCTGCCCTGAGATCGTGTTTCTTATCGGTAAACACACATCTTAACCCAAATTGTACTTTGATATATAAATTTCCATTTCCAGTCAATAAAAGTTATATTTGCGTGTGTGCGTTCCTGTGGGTGGGTTTGTGTATACCTCTCTCTGTTAATTCCTCCCTTACCCATCTGTCATTTACTAATAAATGACACATGAGTTTTAATGTCACCAAAGATGCAAGAAAACCCAGTCCAACATGCTTCTGACTGGGGCCTACTTATTTCCAGCATGCAAAAGTAGAGTCCTCAATTCTTCTTAGGGCTCATTATGCCCATTTACATTTTCATTGTCCTTACGATACATATGTAAAAGTTCACGGGTTTGGCAATCTCATGTAAGAGAACCGTTTCAGCTAGTTCCTTGGTTTGTATGCTTTTTTTTTTTTTTTTTTAAGATATTCACAAGATAATCACAATTTTTTTTTCAGTCTCATCACTATGATAATAAAAAAAACATTAAAAGAACCAAAACAAAAAAAAAATAAATAAATTAAAAAAAAAATCTTTTTTTCCATTTCTAAGATAGTCACAACAATTATCACAATCGTTTCTTCTTTTTTTCTAGAGATATCCAAGCAAAAAAAGGGGGAAAAAAAAAGAAAAATTCAATTTTATTTCGTGGATCTGTCTCATCTCGCCTTCACAACAGGCTTTGCTGGATCTCTCGATGGTTCAAGTTCCTCCGCGATAATCATGGATTCTTTCTCAATATCTGTTAGGTGTTCTGATGCACCCTGGTCGGATTCACCTTGGTAAAGTGCACTGACCGGAATCCCCTCCTCACTCCTACACTCCCGTGCCAGTTTATTCTGCCCGGTCGACGATACCGTACATCTCTTCATCCACCGCCAAACTAGCAAGGCCACGACTATTATTAGTATAATTCCCACAACAGTCAGCCAGGTTATTATAGCAACCAAATTCTCTTTTCAGCCCGAATTCAGCGTACCTATCTTATCTAACTCTGACTTCAATCGTCCAAGATCAATCTTATCGATTGGTTTTAACAACGCTGGCATCTTTTCTAGGGACATCTTAGGAATCTCTCTTATAATGGGTTCCCACAATTCCGTCCATCCACTGGCATTCGTTCCTACTAGATCTAATAAAGCCTCATTCTCTTCAAATGTCTCTTCTGCCCGGTAGTAGGGGGTAAGGAGATAGATGGACAATGAGCTCTACAGCCGAGGGGTAGCTCTACAAAAAACAAGGGGGGAGTAACCCTTATTGTAGTAGTGGGCTCCCCCGCACACACCTTGGATAATTCAATCTCTTCTTGTGTGTCCACCGCCCAAATTCTGTCGGAGACACCGATGGCTTTAGGCAACATTATCCTGGCTAATACCTCAACCTGACAATGATCCCTAATTCCCTTCTTATTTTTCTTAAATAATTCTAGTATGCACAGATCGTGTCTACCTGTCACATAAATTAGACTCACAGACCCACAGGTACCTAAGGTGTCATTCTTGCATTTTTCTGCTTCTCCCTGTATCAATAGCATAAACTTCGTTCTGGCCAGATTTAGGGCGATAAATTCCGTCTCTACTTTGTACCTTGCCACTGCTCTTATCTCCGGCTCTAGCTTTGGATAGGGAAGGTGGGGATTTATCACCTGGTAAATTTCAAAGGTGCTATCTCTGTCCAGTAATGGCACCGGCCCGAGCACTAGCAATTTACCATCTTCCAGCAAGGTAGCACATCCCAAGGCGATATAATACTTCCATAACTGCTGAGTGGGGTCTACAGGTAATCAAAGACGATGGGGTAGCTTGGCTTGTATCTTTAGCAGTGCCCCCCTTAATCGTTCCGGAGTTATTATACTCGGTGACAGGTGTCTCAGCGACAGCATGTCTAATTGTGCCCTCACATGCTCTAACAACACCGTTAAAGAATGACTTGTTTGACGTACCTTACTCAACAACTGAAAATACCTTTGCAAAAACCTTTCTAATTACTGGAATTCGGTTGTTATAGACGTGGTTACATTTATTATTTTTTTTCTGAAAACCCGTAAGTGAGAAATCAACCAATTGATACTCCCTCTATTCTTAGCCAATTCCAGCCAAGTAACATTGAGTATAGATACGCTCTCTTTAACTGACTGAGCCATAGATTGTTGCTTCTGCTTTACCACTTTTAATTACCCTCACTTCGTCTTCGGAGACTGTACCAAACATCACGCTCAATGCCTTTCCCATTATAGGTAGTACTGCCCTCCTTTGCCTGGTCCGTAACAACTTTATTCCCTTCAAATATTAACTCTCAAGCATTAGGGATTCCTGAGCTAAGGGGTATAATATACGGTGGTATTCCGGAGTCTGTAAATATTCTCCGGCGACTTGTGTCCTGGCTGTATTTAGTTTGTCCACTTCGATCTTCAACTGACCCAGTAACTTCTCATACGTCTGCAGGTCTATCACCAAAGTTATCAACCACTTTGATCTAGCTATAACTACTTCGCTTGTCTTCTTAAATACAGTATTCTCACTGTGTTCCCAGGTATAAACTACCAGAACCAGCATCATCAGTACCGCGAGCCGCCTCTAGTCCATGTCTGCAAGGATATGGAGAGAATATATCAAGCACTGACCCGCACCACCACCAGTGCCGTGAAAGCATGGGGGCCCTTCCACACAACCCACAACACCGAGGATAATTGCCCGGTCAGTCCCAGACCGTTACTCATTCAGCACAACCATTCTGATTCCACTTACTCTTTGGGCTCGGGCTTCACCGCCCCACTTAATCGCAATTTCAGTGGTAATTCCTCATTAGCACCAGGCGCTTCTTCAGCCCGCAATTTACTCTGCAATTGTGCTAACGGAATTTCATCCTCTTTTTCCCATTCACTCAGTTCCTCTTCTTCCCTAAGGTTAGGGTCAATTCCTGCCTCCTCAGAATTTCCCGCTGGTGTCCGCTTTACCTCCCTCAGCCTTCGAAGAGTAGTTGGGCTAACGTCAATCTCTTCACTCCCTTCGCTTTCACTCCCCGTCTCCAACTCTAACGTAGTTCTCCTCAGCCTTTTCTGTTTAGTTCTTGTTTCGGCTCCTTCCAATTCCCCTATTTCCACTAGTTTCATATCATTCGCATGCACCCTCTTTACCTTCCCGGTCAATTGGTCCCATATCACAAAGGAAACCGGACCCGTCTGCTCTACTATTCTATAATATGGGCTCCATCTCTGGCCCAATTTACCTTCTCTCAGGTGTATTTTATAATACACTGGGTCCCCGATCTGGAAGGAGACTTCGGCTCTGCTCTTGTTTATTCTATCGTTTCGTAACTTCTGGGCTCTTCAAATCATTCACCTCACCTGCGTAAACATTTTGTGCTGTTGTTCTAGAACCATACGGTAATTATCCTCTCCTAAATACTTCCTTCTAGGTCGCAATAGATTGTCTATAGGTAAGACTACATCCCTGCCATATATCAAGTAGTAAGGGGAAAATTTTGTCGTCTCGTTTATGGAGAACCTCAGGGCCGCTAACGCTTGGGTTACGAATAAATCCCAATTCTCTCTATCATCCTCGGCTAGTTTTACTAACACATCAGCGAGGGTCTTATGAAATCTCTCCACCTTCACATTACTTTGCGGATGATATGGGGAGGTGGTTACATGCTGTATGTTCAATTCCCTCAACGTCTCCCTCATAATCTGATTTACATTCTCCGATCCATTATCGGAGACCAACTGTTCGGGGGCCCCATATCTGAGGAATATTTCGTTCAGTATTATATCTGACACCGTTTGCGCATTTTTATCCGGTATGGCAAATGCCTCAGGCCAATTCGTTAGCCAGTCCACAAAACTCACTATGTAAAGATTACCTCTAGGAGTTTCTTCATAGGGCCCGGAAATGTCCATGCTTACTTTCTGAAATGGGCAATTCGGGACATCCGTTTCTAATACGGGGGCCTCCCTACTCCTTCGACTCTGTACTTGGCATGTTAAGCATTTTTCTACATGGTTCACAACATCCTTAAACAACTTAGGCCAATAATAATTCCTCATTATTAATCCGTATGTTTTATCAATTCCCATGTGTTCCAACTTCCTATGACTCTGGTCTAGAACTTCGGCTCTCAACTTCCCAGGTATCACCATTTTTAAACTTACTTCCTCATCTCTTCCTGAAAGGTAATACAACACTCCATCATGCACCATATATTTGGAGGTACGCCCTTGCCTCTACCTTTGATCTGATAGCTGCTATCTCTCTATCCTCTTTTGCCTAATAATGTCTCTCCAGTGGGAGGCGGAAATAATCTCCGTCTCACTCGTTTCCTGATCCTCCCAACCAAGTCCTTCCCTCGGTGCCTGTGAATTGATCACATTAATTTGGAATGCCTTATCATCCACACCCGGCTACAACCTGAGAGATTCCGTCTCTAGTTGCTTCGGAATCCTCCATAACAGGTCAGCACAGGTATTATCCTTCCCTGCCAAGTATTCTATCTTGCAGTTATATCCACTTAGTTTCAACGCCCATTGCTGTATCTTCTTATTCGCCCACTCTGCCTCTAATAAATATTTGAGGGGTTTGTGGTCTGTTTTAAACACTGCCCCACTCAAATAATAGTCCAACTTTTGCACAGCATACAGGATAGCGAATGCCTCTTTCTCTATTACTGGCCATCTTTGCTGAGTATCGGAGAGTCGATGAGACAAAAAATAAATCGACACTTCCTCAGGCACACCTGGTACGGGGCCATCCTTGTCGGGAGATGGTTGTGTAAGAACCGCCCCGATGCACTTATCACTAGCGTCTGTGTACAGCACCATAAGCTTACTCAGGTCTGGTTAGGCCAACAGTGGTATAGCTGTCAGCTGGTCCTTCAGAGCTTCGAACGCACGCTGACAATCCTCGGACCACTTAAACCTAGCATGCTTCTTAGTTAGAGCTATTAGAGGGTCTGCCAGCCGACTGAAGGCTGGTATGAACCTCCGGTAATATCCGATGGCTCAAATAAATCTCCTAATCTCTCTTACGGTCTTCGATGCGGGCATAGCCCTTATAACCTCTACCTTGTCTAGATCCGTCTTTACCCCTTCTTTATTTATGATAAACCCTAAGTATTTCGTCTCTTCTTTCATAAACTGGCACTTTGATAATTTTAATTTTAGTCCATGTTCTTTTAACCTATCGAACACCTGCAGATGTTCGAAATGTTCCTCTGGTGACCTTGAAAACACCAACATGTCATCTAGATATGCCATGGCAAAGGCCTCCGTGCCATTCAGTACGATGGAGATCAACTGACTAAATACACCCGGGGCGTTTGCTAACCCAATCGACATAACTCTAAAACTGAAGAGACCCATGTGATAGGAAAAAGCGGTCTTTTCTCGATCCTTTCTGCTAAGAGCCACTTGCCAATATCCCGACCTCAAATCTAAGGTGGAAAAACATTTCGACTTTCCTAAAAGGGCTAGAATATCATCAATCAAGGGAAGGGACACTACCAGCGGTTTCCTAATGGCATTTAATTGACGAAAATTCACGCAAAACCTATGCCCTCCATCTTTCTTTTCCACAATGACTATGGGAAAACTCCAGGGAGATTTGGATCTTTCGATTATCCCTGATTCCATCATTTCATTCACTGCGTCCTCTACTAATTTTCTTTTGTGGATTGGGGTTCTATACGGCTTTAACTTAATAAATGGGTGATTACCCGTGTCTATCTTCATTTCTACTGTCTCCGTTTGTCCCAGTTCCTTGTCAGTAATGGCTATTACCTCCCGATTACTGTTCAGCAACCCACTCAATTTCCTCCTATGATGTTCAGGAGCGTTTATATCCTCCTCCCTTATTTCCTTGCTACCTATCTTATTCCCAGGCCTATTCTCATTCCATACTCTCACCTGCTCGACTACTCTCACTGGGCACGCCTGTGCCAGCTCCTCTCCCTGCTTAATTTTAATAGTTATTATATTTATAGTTATTATAGTTTAATTATTGGCAGCATTAGTTACAGTAAGGGAACAGTCCTCGACCCCTTTACTAACGAATCACATACGGTTATCTCCTTTTCACTATCATCGTACCTATCAGTAGGGACCACTTGGTACAGGTCACTGTTCAGAACTCCTTCTGTTACAATCTTGCCCTTCCCAGACACAGTAGTCCTAGGGGGAAGCTTTATATCTGTCTGGGCCACCATTGTTCATAATTATCCTCTCCCAATGGTATCCCTACTCCATCCAATGTTAGGGTGGCGGGGTCAAAACAGATCTGTGCCTTATTCTGCCTAAGCCAGTCGCCCCCAAAATTAGCTCACCACACAAGTCTGGTGCCACATAAGCCTTAAGTTTACATCTGATTCTTGCCAACTGGAAAGGCAGCCACGTCATACCCTCTATCCTCATCCTACTACTATCAGCCTGACTTATTAGTAGATCGACAGGACTAAGCTTCGTCTTCAGTCCCAACTGTCTAAAAACCTTGGAGCTAACTAGCGACACTGAAGCTCTCATATCGACAAGGGCCCTCACCTTCTTGCCTCCAAGCAACACATTACAGATGAAGTCTGGTCCTTCCTTCAGCAAACGGTACACCTGTGCCTTTCTCCTTCCCGCATGTTCTCTCCCTTTCTTCCGTTTGCTAAACAACCGAGACATGTGGGCGGACAACAGGAGTTCGCCTTTCTCTAGGGGCTCCAATTTCTGTCTAGAGGCCCTTTTGGGTAGGGTAAAGCCCGGATGACTCTCCTTTCCCGGACTAGTAACCTGTTTCTCCCCTTTATTCGAGTTGGGGTTGTTCTGTTTTGCGTGGCCTAACTTTCTCCTGCGAGGACAGGTTCGTTTTAGGTGACCCAATCCTCCACATTGCCAACACTTTCGCTCCTTACAACTGGGCGAAAGGTGCCCGACCACACCACATGTCCAGCATCTCAAAGGTCTTACTTGCATTGGGGCCACCCTGCCTCTTACTTTTTCACGGGGGATCCATTGGCGTTGCCCGGACCCTTTTCTTTCTCTTTGCACCAGCATATTAACTCGCTTTATCCCCAGTTTACGGTCCACCATTCGCCGTACACCATCGAGCCTTGTGCCCGAACTCGCCACAAGTTGTACAGTTCGGCCCCCGAGATCTTGGATCGCCTCCATAATTTGTCGGACAGTCGCGGACCCGATGCCCACTATACTTGCAAGTCCAGCACACCAGCCCATATCGGCCCGGTGTGGGCTTGAAAAACCCATAACGCAAATCCCAGGCCTTCCTATTGGGGTCAGCCTCAGACTTCCTGTCCTCTTCTACATCTTCTTTCGGTTCCCGAATCTGGATCCGCTCCTGATCCTTCTTTTTTATTATTACCTTGGCTCCCCGGTGGTTCCTTCCTACACCTCCTCTTATCCTATCCCAGTGTCGCTCGCTGGTCCGAGCCAATTCTATGGCTGCGGCCAGAGTGACCGGTCCTCCCTTCAGAACGTCGCCCCTCAGGTCCCTGTCGCTCAGCGCATCTACATATACATCGGCCAACAAGGCCTGAATAGGGCCAATGTCCCGAGTCACCAATTCCGGAAAATCTAATGCTGCTAGCCACGCGACTCTTTCTCCCAATTCTTCATTTGTCTCTCCTTCCTGTTGCTGCAGCCGGAATAATTTCCTGACTGCCTCAATGGCCGTACGCACACTTGCTTATTACCGCACCAGAGCGGATTTAAGCTTTGTCCATGTCGAGGCTGGGTTTTCTTTGTACCATGCCCCTATAAACTTAGACACCTGCTCCGCCGCGGCGTCGTAAGCCAAGAGCACCATTTCCTGGTCTGATAAGCCATAAATCATCTGCTTTTTTTGGATGGAGAGAATCCATTCGTGCAGGTCCGCAGGGTTTCCTTTATAAGTCGGTAGCTTCATACTACCTATCAGCCTATGAACCGTATCGTTATTTCGGGGACTCCCACGTCCCCAAGGTCAGTTGTGGCATCTGATCCTGCTACGCTCATCCTAGCGTCTTATCAACTGCCACTTTCCCACGAGAAGAGAGATCAACGACAGAACAAAGGAAAGTATTTCACACGTTGGTGGCGCTTCAACTGCGTACAAGGTCGACAAAAATCAACAATATTACTGGCAGATCTAAGTGCAATGAATGAGTAGAGGAAACCAAAAAGTGACTTACCTGAGGTCCGCTGCTCCGTGTTTTGTTTCCTTTTTATTTATTTTTTATTTTATTTTATCTTTTTTTTTTACTAATATCGTCCGCAGACTAGAGTTCTTTCTTTTCTAGATGCAACAAACAAAGTCTGTTTTGCTAGTGTTTCCTTCTTTTCTCGTTTTTTTTTTTTTTTCCTGAGTATAACTTAAGGCTTGCTTTTCTTCAAAGCTGTTCCTGGCCTTATTTTCCGTGGTAACTCAAGGTCAATCCTGGTCAATGGCAACCAAATCTACCACTTCCTCCCCAGCCCCTCAACCTCCGGCGTCTTCCTCTTTGGGTCGAGGCGTCCATTCGGTCCGAACCGAACTTAGGGGTAACTGGCCGTACGCTCCCTGAGTACCCGTAGATTATTTCCACCGGTCTACTGGTCAAGTCCTGCTCGCTGCCCACGCTGTGTTAGTTTTTAGATCCAGTAAGCGGGGTGTTGTCCATACGTTCACGGTCGACTGGGGATGTGGACACGGCTGTGAGAGTTGGCGCTAGGAAGTTTAGAATGTGGCAAAATAAAACAAGAAATAATATCTGCAGAAGCCAGACAACAATGGGGGAGATATTGACGTCTTTTATATAAGAAGATAACATCAGAACAGGGGTTACAGGGAGAATAAAAAAACATTTAACATAAATGAGAAAAGAAAAAGCCAAAATGCATCCAGCGAATTCCCAACAGGAGAGGGTTTGCGTGTGATAAACGCGTATTGAATCACCTGGGGTAGTCCCGTCTCATACAGACTTCTCAGAACAAGGGGCAGTCTTCTTTCTCTCCTCCAAAATTCTCCCGCAAATCTCTCGACTCACTGCGACGATAGTCCCGTGACTCTCTCGACTACCGTCTCTTTCCCCGACTCTGCTTTTTTAGCAAAATCTCGAGTTAATATAGAAAAAGGATCAGCTGATCACAATTGACCCTCGGCCCGGCACGCAGCTACCACGAGTGCCAAAAACTATCCCTTGACATGTAAACCTATTCTCCAATTATTTACCTTATCTCAATCACGAGTTCTCGCTTCACCAAAATTATACTTTGGGATATCTAAACATTGATTCAACCTTTTAATTAAAACAAATACTATTAAACAAATACTGTTAAACAAAACCAAGTATCTCGCCCTAGTGACCCAGGTTTAAAACATCGCCTCCGGCTCTGAGATCGTGTTTCTCATCGGTAAACACACATCTTAACTCAAATTGTACTTTGATATATAAACACCGTTTCCATTTCCAGTCAATAAAAGTTATATTTGCGTGTGTGCGTTCCTGTGGGTGTGTCAGTACGTGTATACCTCTCTCTGTTACACATTGCGCAGACCGAAAGACATCCGGGTGAACTCATACAAGCCAAAAGGGGTAGTTATGGCTGTCTTGGGAATGTCGGATGGCTCTATCGGGATCTGGTAGAAGTCTTTTCTAAGGTCCAGTTTGGTAAAGACAGTTGCGCCTTCTAATGGCCGGGCGAAATCCTTAATATGGGGGATTGGATATTTGTCCGGCACGGTCTGGGCGTTCAAAAGCCGATAGTCCCCGCACGGACGCCAATTGTCGGCATCGCTCTTTGGGACCATATGAAGCGGTGTAGCATTAGGACAGGAAGATGGTCTAATTATGCCCAATTTGTGCATATTTTCAAATTCGTCCTTAGCTACCACTAATTTAGTTGGATGTAATCGACGAAGTGATGCATGAACTGGGGGTCCAGTTGTTTTAATCGCATGAGTAGCATTGTGTTTAATAGGTTCTGCGTAGGTGAATGGCGATAGTAGTGACTTATATTGCCGGAGAAGATTTTCATAGCCATTCGCTCCGGGTACTAACGCAGTTAGTACCCAGAGAGAATAGTGTCTGGTCGATGCTCCGCGGCGCTGTATATTTGTGCACGTGTCGGTGAGTGTACATAAAGATAGTTCGTCTGCCAAGTTGAAATGTGCTAGGAAGTCCGCTCCAAGGATTGGTGTCTCAACATCGGCTATTGTGAAGGTCCAGATAAATTCCCTTCTTAGGCCGATGTTGAGGGACATAACGCGCTCGCCATAAGTACTAATGGGCGTGCCGTTGGCAGCTTGTAATTTTAGTTGAGCTTTAGGTGTCGTCATCAATCTGCTGCAGCTGCTCAACGGTATGACGCTGATTTGTGCGCCTGTGTCGACCAAAAATTTGAGGTTGCTGTTGCGGTCGGGCGATTTTTATTATCAGCCCTGACAGCCAACGCAGTCAGCCTATCACAGGAAGCACACAGAATTTCGCCACACTGGGACAAGAAAGTCGCCAGGTGCTCGCCGAGAACTCATATACTGCTACTGTGGTCATTCTTCTGCCTTCTTACGCTGTACGGAGAATTAAATCCTTAGCGATTAGGTCTCTACTCTGCTTTTACGCAGTCTTCGGCAGTGGGTAACTAAAATTCAAGAAAAAATAAAACAGACAAAATACAGCAGGTGACAGACAAAAAAAAAGGACAAAACACAAAGCTCGCCCGAAAGCGAGACAGCAAGTAAAAAAGTATATAAACAAGGAAAAAATAAATATACACAAAGGTCTTACAAAAATCAAATGACGAAAGAGAACAAGTAAAACAAGATTCACCTAAAGGCAAGACAGATTTAAAATTTACAATAAAAATAGACGAAAAATAAAAGAACAAAGATCGTCTACAGGCGAAACAATAAATTTAAAAAAGAAAACACAAAAACGAAAATAAACAATAAAACGAAAACGCTAGACAAAGAAAAGGGAAAACGTTATACAAAGAAAATGCAAAA